AGTATTCGGCTGTTAAAATTTAACTTCCCAACTGCCTGCTTGGCGATTCGCTGGGCTTTATTTCTTCTACTGTCTAAAACAGTGTTGTTTCCTCGTCAGAATGCATTTATGTGAGTGACGGCACCGAAAACTGGATGGACGCTTTTCATTCGTTCGGTCATAGGGTTTCATGCATTTCGTTTAGCTTCGTCCCCTAAAAGGAAGTAGTTTAGGTCCTGTTCGGGGTCGTTACAGTAAACAAGACCGATCTGGGCGTAGACCACTAGGCCATCAAAACGGTATCGTGTCTCCCACTCCTCTTTTCCACCCAGTCAGAAATACTGGAAATGCCTGACCGGCTCTTTCTGCTCCCCTCCCCCCGATGTGGTACTCGCGTACACGCATGCGTCATGTCCCCGCCACCACATGACCTTGACGGATGTTTTGACGCGTTTCCCGCGTGCCTGCTGGATGCTGGTTTAGGCACGCGTCTAGCCTGGAAAACCGGCGCTTCCACAGCTTCCCCCTGCAAATGCTGGCCTATCCGCATGCATGGATCGTTCCGAGTGGAAGACGAATGTGTCGTCTGTCTTGTACTTTGTCCCTGAATTGCACTTCTGGTTTCTATATTGCACACACACACGCACACCTCGTGACTACTTAAACAGTACTGATTTTTGTGGGTGATAGTTGTGCGTGTTTCAGTTCTCCGTCTTCTCGTTCGCTCTATCTTTTCCTGCCATCCTTTCTGAAGAGCAGTCTCGTGAATTTAACCCTGCACTGACTCCCTTGGGTTGGTTTCCTTGGCTTAAGAGTGTAAGAAAATGTGTGCTTGTTTACCTTGAAATACACCTCCCGATTGAACCTAATATGCCGATCTAAAAGCAGTCAGAGCTGTGGCCCAACGATGATTGGGTGGTCCTCTGAACTGATGTCTTTCATAAGAAGTGGGAAACCACCACGGATCGACTACAATCATTGTTCCTCTTCGTCGTCCGTTGATCTTCGACTGCGAATCAAAACCTTATCGAAAAGTGCTTTAAGTCGACTTGCTCACAGTAGGCAGTTTTTTTTCTGGTTACTCTCGGTACAGGTTCCTGATGCTAGCTACGATTTCTCGCCTTGTTTCCTGTAATTTTATTTTTTTGTGACGGTTGTAACTGGGACCGTAGCAAGCACACGAGCTGGAGAGGACGAACAAATCCGGATGCAAGCATCAGAACTAGAATACCCTATAATAGGGCTTTATTCATCTTTCAATTGACACACTGAAACTAAAACGAGAAATAGAAAAGTAGTGGTTAAGATGGAGTTTAGCCAGGGGCTTATGTCAGCATGACAGTGACCTCTTGAAGAGAACTTTCGTCTAAAAATGAATCATGGCCATACTACTTGGTTTTTCTTACTGGTATTCTGGCCCCACTTGACCTATTTGTATTAGCGTACTTGACACCTCTGTTGCTGTCCTTGTCAGTCTCTTCTCTTCTTTTTTGGTGTGTGCATGCTAACGCGCAGCCAGCTCCCCATACGCCGTTCTTCCAGCATGCTTCAGGACATCCAACGTGTGTGTCTTGACTTTCCCAACCGGTCCTCCGACTCGCTGAATCTCCTTCAAGGTTTCTCTCAACGCGAGTACTCGGGACGCAGCGAGTGGAGCATGACCGTGCAGCGTATCATCGATTCTTGGTATTTCGGCTTCGGCAGCCCTGCAGTGGCTGGCTTCCTAGAATCCTATGCACAGGACCGAAACGGAAGCACTGTTGACACCTCCATGCACGCTAATATTCGGGAGCAGTTGAATGATCTTCTGCGCATATCCAGCACCTGTCCTTTGCAGGATGTTCGAGCAGCCTGTGAAAACATAATGGAAGATCTAAAGGTAGACCGACGCCCACTTCCAGTCTAAACTGTAACTTGTAGAAGAAGAAGCATTTCCCTGTCTTGCCGCCGCTCTATCGGTCGCCATCTTACAACTTCTCCTGCGAGGAGGTTTGTCAGTATCTTTCGCCCTTAAACTCTAACCTCCGTTTATAGATGCCTCACCTCAAGTGCATCCTCGAGAAGCCCTCTGACGACGATCTCCTATACACAGTAAGTTCTGTCAGTCTTGCTACGATTAGCTGACTTTATTGTCGTTGGTCATGCACACCGCCACGATCTTTCAGAAAGACGACAGCTCATCATATAAACACTATGGTACATAGTTTTGTAGATATGTACTTCTGGCCTCGTCGAACTCTGCATGACCACCATTTTATGCTCAACTCACTCGTTTATTTCATGGATTTCGCATCGGAACTGTTACGACTAGTCGTGATCGGTCATACTGCAGTATTATTTGCCACCGAAACTGTTACTAGCGACCAAACCTGGCTGTCAAGAGCCAAAGACAAAGTCCGAGTGAATGATGAGGAGTGCTATTTCGTTGCTATCACCTCCGGCAATTTTGTCCTTTGCACTTCTGACGACCTCTGAACCCCTCGCAACCTTAGTGCTTGGAATTGGGCCAAAAAGTACGAATGAGTAACGCAGCATCCGTTGGGGGGATTCTTGTATTGGCTTCTGATTTCTCCCCCCCCCTGCCCAATATTTTTTTATCACTCTGGGTTGTTTAGTCGGTCTTGCTATCACCCCATCCTCAAATCAGTCCCTCTGGTCGCGTAGGGCGGGAGCACCATCGATCGGCAGCGCAAACCTTACTCGCTGATACAGATGGGTTGTCATGGGTTGTGCCGAGCTGTAGGTGGCACTACACAGGGTCTAAGTTTTCCTGAATCGGTCCGTGGACATTAGTGACGTCGAGGTCTTCAACTAAGACATTGAGGAAAGTGTTGAAAGCAGAGGTCAGGAACATATCTGACCCCCTTGTTGGTAGTTCATGTGGCTGGCGGGCCAACAAGAGGCAAAGGTAAAACTTTAAAATCCCAAAGCTAAAGTAGCGTGGAGCAACGTTGCCAGCGATCAATCCCCTTTCACGCGTCTTCATTGCTAGCACACAATCAAGGCCACAGTGGTCTTGTGGGACATAATCGCATCCACTGCTGCAGCTGTCTCCAGTCTGCGAGGCAAAACCAGTCTCTTCGCTTCGCCGTCCATCATAACACCACTCCAAGACCTGTCATGCCTACTCTACGTCCACGGGGACCATTCATCCACAGTTACTGTTGCTTGCCCACTGGGAACAGCTATAATAACAGCACGCAGTCAAACACCCCTCCCACGACAGCTCGGTCGTCGCGATCGACGAAGTCTACCGCGTGCCTCACACAATGGGTTCAGCCCTGATGACTTGCGTGTGAATTAGTTTATGATGAGGCCAACTTGGGCATCATCTGCCGTACCTGCCTGGTTCCGATGGCAAAGTCAAGTCGACCGGAGCTGGGCTCAGGCGCGGTGGTTGACAAAATCGAACAGCCCGTCTACACAGTCCACATACAACACGATCCCCTATACGTGTACTGGGCTACTGTGAGGACGGCTCGGTCCTCACGTACGTGGGAGTTCCGTGAAGGCCATATTAAAAGGGATCCATTGCAGCCTGACTAGGAGAAGGGCCGAGTTACCCGGCCTGTTTGCAGCCTTCCAAGCTATATTGTAGAGCCGAGCCCGTCAGATTTCTTGAAGTAAGAAATAGGTTTATGCTGGCCTTGAGGACGGATTTCCCAGCTTGCATACGCGCAAATTTTTGAACTGATGAAAAATTATTCAGGCTTCTCCGAATCCTCTTTTTCTCGGTCTATCGAAAATCGTCACTCGTCAGTCAGATCACAAAGCTTATCTTATGAAGGTGACCATCGCCGATTTTGACGGGCCTTATATCACACAGTCGATGTTCATTTACGCATGAGTTTGTATAAAAAACCGCACTGAGTTAAAGCCTCCACCGTCTGTCTGAATGTTAAACTTGTACTTGTACTTGATACGGCTGCGATCATGCCTGATCTGGCCGGCCTCAATGATGTCCCGAACTGTACCTCTCCACGCGTGACGATCCGCGGCAGCTCAACCCATTCCCTTCGCCAACGAAGGAAACCGAATATCGAAGGTCCAAGAACCACCTCCATGTCTTGACGATCTGTGTCGAGCCAGGTTTCGAACTGACCCCCTCTTCGACGCCTTCCACGGGGTAACGGTTCCGGACCGAGGGCTGTAACACTGAGCTGTTGAGGTGGACGACGAAGAACATGCCCGAACCCCCTCAGTCGTCTTTCTTGGATGGCCTGGGTTATCCTCGCGATGCTGTCGCAGCGAGAGCGGACAGTCTCATTTGAGACGAAGTTTGTGAACTTCACTCGAAGGATGGTCCTCAAGCAGTGGTGATCAAATACCTCCAGTTTTCGCTCGTCCTCCACGTCAAGTTATCGCGCCCGTTAGCAACCAGCCAAGTCATGACTTATAAGGCCGAATGATGGCTTAAGTACGCCTTGTCTGGGTTATGCACTGGGGGATCTGTGCAGCCTCAGCATCACTCTGCCCCATCTTAGCTCTTTCAGCGGCGTGATCCCACGCCGGGGCTCCTGGAGACAAGGTTGAGCCCAGTTACTGACCAGCCATTTCACTCCCATCTTGGGCCTATCGTTCCACATCGAACCGCACCATTCCGTCACTGAATTTGCGCCCTATTATAAGCCTAACTAACTCTAGCAGCCCCCCCCCCTTCACCTTAGGCCCTACTGTCAGGAAAATCGCACGCACCTCGCCGCTCATTTGGGTATTTTTTTCCTTACGCATATCGTTTCGATGGGATGCACTTGCAGTGAGTTCTTATGATATCTTCAGAAGTGGAATATTTTTAGTGGATCCAGATTACGCATAGAGTAGCATGACTTAATCCCAGTTAATGTCTACAAATTGTGCTATTTTTACGTACGCGGTGATCTTTCAGTTACCGTGAAAAGTAGTGTGTGACCCGCCTGTTATAGCCCCTTGTCTGTAGATGATTATCAAAATCTGCAAGCCCAGCAACCACTTTAATTCAGAAAACGCATAGAATGCGTAACTTTCTGAGCCTTATATTTGAACCTCGACATCCGTCATGGTATAATCTGCTAATTATGTAGCGTGCCCCCACCCTCTTGTTTCCGATCGATATATATATATATATATTATGATAGTGGGCGCTCACCGATCGGGTTACGGAACGTGCTTGTTCCGTTGTGCCTTGGGGCTCATACTAGAACCCTCGCAGGCAGTCGCACAGCGACTAGTAGTAGACGCAGATGAGATGGAGCCGAGAAAGACAAGGAAGACCGGAATGGCCATTTCTGGCTTATTAGCCGTCATCAGCCAGTCATACCCAACCCCAAGTGTGGACAACGGGCCCGTGGCTCAATTGTAGAGCGTCAAACTCCATGGCCAAAGATCCCGGGCTCGAATCTTAAGTGATCCACACTTG